AATTCATAACTTTAACGTTATCTTGATGAGATACTTTATTATTTTCTTTAATGGTATCATCTAATATTCCAGATAAATCATTTTTTTCTCTTAATGTCAAGTGCCACAAATTCATGTTTTGCAAGATTTGACATGCTCATAACTATCACACGAAATTATAATATCTATTATGAAATTAATAAAATACAAATATACTTTAATAATAAAAAAATATTGAAATAAAAATAGAAGAAGAGTATCTTGCTTAGAATATTTAGTAACGTGTTATAAAATATGATCTGAAATCGATATATAGATAGAAATAAAATAGGATAAATAATCTTATTCACCATCAATTTCATCAAAGGAGATATCTTTTATAGATACAGCATGTAACCCATAAGACCCCATTAAAATCTTACAATTACTTAGTTCAAGCAAATAATAACAAAGACTAATAAAACTAATAAAAATAAATGGACATCCAATAACTATTCATAACACTCTCCTTTAAATGTTTAATGATAGAAGAATATGTCTCATTAAAATTTTACTATGTGAAAAAAAATACATTATTCTTTGATTAAATTTATTCATTTCTATAAATTATCATTATTAAGATGATAAAGTGCAATCTTATAAACCAATTGTTCAATTACCCTCTTTGGTAAAGATTTTGTAAATAATTATGCTAAATTTCACATGAATGAATCTTTTAAATCTCTATATCACTTTTCCTATGTGTAAAAGAATTTTGGAAGTATATGTTTTGTTTAAATCTCTATATCACCGTTCCACTCAATTTTAATGTAATTAAGGTAAGTAAACACAAATTAAATCAAGCAATTACTTAAATTTACAAATTTACAAATTGAATTATGATATAACTTGAGACATTTAATCAAATAACCTAAAGTTACATTGATTATAATATAGTATAATTTTGTTAGAATAGTTAACCATATAAAACAAGTTTTTTATTGGTGAATTAATAAAAAAAAACTAGAACATCATTAAAGTCTAAAAAACCAGTCAAATCATAAAAACAGTGAAGGAAAAATAAAGAGGAGAAGAACAAAACTAAAATTAAATATAAAAAATAAAGAGAAACGAAACAAATAAATTCTAAAGAATTATTCATACAAGAAGATCAAGAAACAAATTTGAAAACTAAACATCACAAAAGAAAGAAAATTAAAAAAGAAAAAGTTCTAAAACTTTAAAAATAAGAAAATGAAACTTATGTCTTTCAGCTCATACTATTGCTGAATTATAAAATTAGCTCTCTGACTTGTGTTTGCTTGGTGGATTTTTTCTATGCCAAGCGAATTCTTTAGGCTAAAATTTTATATATTTTTTAATTTATCATTCCTATAAAAATAAATAAATAATTAGTTAAAATGTCAAATTTAAACAATAAATTAAAAAAATATTTATTTTTTTTATAAAAGAATGTTAAAAATTAATAATTAATTTAAGAAATATATATAATAAATATACCCAAAATACATAAATAATTTATTGATAAAATGTATTCGACCAATAATTTCATACTTCAACTTTTGATCTTCCAAGCAAAATAAGTTTCAAAAATAAAAAATAAAATATATTTTATTAATAAATCAAATTAAAATTAATAATTTAATTATAAAGATTATATAATCATAATATTAAAATATAAGTATTCTATCAATTTATCCAAATATATAAGGTGTGAAGTAGTCCTCATAACATAATTAAGTTACAAATCCTCACTTGTATAAATTTAAACAAAAATTCACATTAGAAATCATCATAACAAGTGATAAGAATAACGAGACTTAAAACTCACATAACTTAAGATTTTATCTAATTAAAGTTATAATTAAACTTTATCACAAAATTATACTTAAGATTTTATCTAATTAAAGTTATAATTAAACTTTGTCACAAAATTATACAAGAGAAATAAAGATATTATATAGGATATTTAAACAAAAATTATTCTTTTCCCAACATATTTTTATCATGAAATATCTTTGTTCTTTCTTTAAATATTCTAGAACTCTTAAAATTTTTTAATCTTATTTATTCTAATTTTATAGTTGTAATAATTTATATTCATCGTCAAAAGATAAATTACATATTTTAACATGCCAATAAACTTTATGTTTATTTCAACTAGAAGATGACAAGTCTTAAAAAAAAAAATCCTAAAAGAAGACATCCCTAAAGGAGTTTTATAAGTTTTCTTAAAAGTCATTAGTTTAAAGATGATAAGATGTGGATATTTTATACATAATTCCATATTTCTTCAATAAACTATTAAAAGATTTATTAAAAAATAAGAGACTTATCACTGATTATCACTATTTCGAAACCAAGACCCAACTGATTCAACCGAAACCAAACTAGAAGTTGCTTTTAAATAATCAGACTTTGATTAAACTGGGATAAAATCAGAGAAACCAAGATAAAACTAGTAAAATTATAAAAATAGATAGAGTTTTTGGGTTAAATCGGTTTTAATAAAAAAAATTGAGATCAAATTTTTTAATATAATATATTTTATAAAAAATATAATATATTTTAATTTTTTTTCCTTTTTTATTTCATATTAATTATATCAACTTTAAATAATAATTATTTTATTATATTTTTATTTTATTTTAACAATTATTTATCTTATTCTTTTTAATATATTTTATATTTATAATTTTCATTGTAATTTTTATTATTTTTATTTATTTTTGTAAAAAATATTAATACTAATAAACTTATTATATATTTATTATATTATAAAAATATTATTTTATTAAATTCAGTTGTACTCTAATTCAACATTCAAACCGTGAACTTATACCATTCAATGATCAATCCAATTTTAAAAATATAAATATTTCTAAACATGACTCTTTAAATATTAAATCGGTAAAATATATTAGTCTTCACAAAATTAACAACTTTTGAATAGTTTTTCCTTCAACCCACTTATAAATATAATCAATAAAAAAAGAATATAATTAAATGCGAGAGAAGAAAGAAAAGATTCCATAAAATCAATATATCATACATAAAAAAATTTACAAAATAAGTTTTTCCAATATTTCCAAGAATCTTTAAATACTGGGCCAATAAAAACTGAATCCGAAATTTTTCTTTGCAACTTAATCCAAGAATTTTCTTCTTTGTGGACCTATACGTCCACCAATAAGGAGATTATTACAAAAATTAGAAAATAGAATTGATTTTTTTATCAGGAATACGTTAATTTTATCACTACAAAATTTTCATAAATAAGATCATCTCAAATAAAATATTTAAAACTATGCTTTAATTTATTTTTTATGTTTTTACCTATGTGAAAGAAAAATAGCACGTGAAAATAAAAATAATAATATAATTAACAATATTAACATACTAAAATTTATAATTTAAATTAAGAAAATAATCACAAATTACATAGTCATCCAAATTATTTTTAATTCTATTTGATCACAACTAAATTTTGAGAATCTCTTTTATCTTTAATAATTAAATCAAATTCTTGCAATAAAATTGCCCATCTAATAATCTAGACTTAAAATCATTTTTTTCCAACAAATATCTAAGAATTGCATGGTCAATAATAAAAAATAACTTAAGAACCAAATAAATAATATCTAAATTTATCTAAAACAAATACATTATTTCTAGTAATAGTATAATTTATTTGTACCGAATTTAAAGTTTTGGAAACATAATAAATTACATAAGTAACTTTAACAATTCATCGTCCTAAAACGACTTCTAAAACAATTAAAGACGTCACTTATAATTTGAAATGGAAAATTATAATCTTAAATTAATGCTTTCTTCAAATATAATCAAATTAATTTTTGCATTTTTCGTCAAAATGAAATAAAATATCTTTATACAATGACAAGAAGAACAACTTTACTAAAATATTTAATAATAATTGCGGATTTGCACGGAAATAAAAATAATAAAACTATATTTGCATACGAAGGAAGAAACACATATAAGCAGTAAATATTTTATTATAAAATTTAAAATAGTCTTAACGAAACAGAAAATTATGAGAATGAGAACAATAAAAATTAATTTTATAATAGATTGTGTTAAGTATATAATTAATTAGGAGTATTTTTTTATTAATATAATAACAAATAAAAAAATATATTTAAAAAATAATAAATAAAAATATTTTTGATTTTCATTTTTTTAATTTCTTTCTAAATTTAAATAATCATAATTTTTATTAATTTTCTCTTTATTTCTTTCTTTTTCTATTTTTTAAATTATTTTTTTAATTCAAACACTTGCTAATTGTTCGATCATTGTTGTAAGTGGGCATTATTGGAGAGTGTTAGTTTAATTATTTTTAGATATTCCAATGACAATTCAAAAGTTTTATAGGTAGTTAAACTTATATGAGGAATAAATGAATTTTAATATATAAGTCAGAGTATGAAATTTTAAATAAATAAATCTATTTAAATATATACGTTCAATTTTATATTTGTAAGAAACAATTCAAATTTGGATTTCATTTTTTAAACTATTCATAATTGAAAAAAATAAGAAATTGAATTTTGAGGCAGAAATAAAGAACATTCTATATGCGTGGAAGTATGCTATGAAACGCACAAACTCGGTCTAAGCCACCCTAATAAAAAAGAAAGGGTAGACAGAGAAACAAATTCCTCACAATTACATAATATATAACAGAAAATGAATTCCAAGTCAATTACTATGCCAACACTGGTTACAGTCTTCAATCTCGTTAGGAATCATCTTAGTGGTCAAATCCCGGATGTCTTTCCTCAGTCAAACAGATTTGAAAAATTGCTTTTGAATTAGACCTAATAGAAAATGAATTAAGTGGTCAAATCCCATCTTCATTGTTTGGCTTAACTCAACTTTCTGATTTGAGATGTTCTGAAAATAAATTTGCCCCACAAAATATCAGGGCTTTCAAACCCAATTACCTTGTCGCTAGATGACAACTTATTGTAACCACAAAAGCAGTCACTATGACAATGGAGAAAAATCGGAAAGACTTTGTATACATTGATTTATCCAAAAACAGATTTGAAGGAGAGATTCCAAATGTCATTGGAGAACTATTTGCAATGAGAGGGCTCAACCTTTCCCATAACAGATTTAGTGGTCATATTCCCCAATCCTTGGGATATTTGACAAACTTAGAATCATTAGATCTGTCTTCGAATATGCTTAATGGTAAGATTCCTACCGAGTTAAACAATTTGAACTTTTTTGGAAGTCCTGAATCTTTCCAACAACCATCTTGTGGGAGCAATTCCTCAAGGAAAACAGTTCAATACATTTTCCAATGATTCTTAGAAGGGAAACTCGGGGTTATGTGGGCTCCCGTTGACAACAGAATGTAGCAAAGACCCTGGACAACATTCTCCACCTTCACTGACCTTCAAGAGAGAACAAGGATTTGGATTTGGTTGGAAACCAGTGGCCATAGGATATGGATGTGGAATTATATTGGAGTGGGAATGGGATGTTGTGTGCTGTTAACAGGAAATCCTCAATGGCTTGTGAGAATGGTTGCTTGATTGTCTTGTTGCACACCTTCTTGTTCAATTTCAATATTGGGTTCCTAGATGACAAAAAAATTTAAGGGCAAGAACCCTATCACTCTGTGTTGAATGGGAGATTTGATTCACAGTTTAGTTGTAATATGAATGTGTTGTACTTGTTTTTCGTCAAAAATAATGTGACGTACTTCATTTCCCTTGAGCTTGCGATATTTTTTTTTATTTAATACATATTAAGAATGTGTTGTATATTAATGTTACGGATTGGTCAATTCGAAAATATTGTGTTTTAACTGTATGTAGTTGACTCGGTTCGTCCAATGAGCTTATTTCACAGTTTTACCTTTCACTTCAGTACATATGATATGAGACCACAAACAACGCAAGCTAAAGGAATAAAACCTGAATTACAGATTATATCATGAGTTTTGAGCCTTCTTCGGAGGAACAGGACAAAGTTTAGGTTAAATTTAAGATTTTTCTTTCAGATTTGCCTCATGGCCTTTTCAACTTCAAGGAGTTTTTCTTCGCGGTGTCAAAGTAATACATAACTAGCCATACAAAAATAAATAGTGCACTGTGCAAGCTCGAGATGGTATCTATGGAATGCTAGATTCAAAATTTTCTCAGAAAAGAAGTGACCAAGACTTTCAACAGAATTTCTTAGAATTCGTAGTTACAAAACACAGCAGAAAAACAGATGGAAAACAAGATGAAAATCCTCATAGTTGCAGGCATGATGGCACAAATTTCTTGATGAAAATCCGGCTGTGCGGGATCACTTGAGAGAGTAAGTATTTAGACATTCTAATCTTTCTCCTTCCCATGGTTGAAGATTGTATGATGTAGCTTGATGAAGGTCGATGTTTTGAAGGAGAAACTCAGACAAATTGTTGCTAACAAAAAGAGTGAGCATCAATGTTTTAGCTTGAAGCAACCTCAAGCTTTCACAATTCACCTAGTTTATTGATGTAAGGTGATCGGTTAAACTCTGCCTTGGTTTTGAAGAAAAGCATCCAGGATATTGGAAATGATGGTATTCCAATACAAAAGGGCCAAATATTCTTCAAAGTGTTTATCAATTGAAATGGTTCTTTGCATCAAAGTGGATGTTATTTTGCAGGTGAAATCTCAACTGGACTAAAAATAAAGTAAAATTAGATTATATAGAGTAATATATATATATATATATATGTATATATATATATATATATATATTTTGTATTTTCTATACAACATTATGTTAAAGATCATGTTTTCAAATCACAACTTTTAATTTTTTTATTATTAAATAAATTGAAATCATATTTTGAAAACAGGATTTTTGTTTATTTCCTAAAAAAACACAACTTTTTAAAAAGAGGATTTTAATTTTTTAAATTAAAGCCATATTTTCAACTATATATATGTATATAAGTGAAAATTGTGTTAAAAAATAATTTTTTAAGGAAAATATAACTTAAAATAAATATCAACAAAAATTATTATATTTTAAATTATTAAACTATATTTTAACAAAATATTTATACAGATTAAATTATCAAATGAAATTTGAAGAAATAACTAAATACAAAAAAAAATTGTGCATATAAACACAAATTCTAAAAATGATTTTAAGAAAAATAACTCATTTCACGTTTTTAAATTAAAAAAAAAAGTTTTCAAAAACTCCACTTGTGTTAATAACAAAATCTATTTTTAAAAAAATCAAGAAATTTAGAAACACTACTTCTTCTGTATTCAACTTTTGTAACTCTCTTATGTTAATGCCTAATAAAATCTCATTAACTTTCTTTACTTTAGTTACGCATGTGATTTATTATTTTCTTTTAATTTTATACGTAATTATTTCTAAAATTTTCTTTATTTCTTCCTTCCTCAGTTTACTTTTGAAATATTAAATATAGGAGTATGCATTTAAATGATTATCCTTTTTACATTTAAGTTTGTTTTCAAACTTATGTAATCCTTTTCTTTTTCTTTTATTTTATTGTTTAAAATAGTTTATTCATCAAATCAAAATAAATAAAGGTTTTAAAAATAACAAAATAAATATGTTGATTTGATGTTTATGTTTATGAAAATATAATTAGTATCAACATAGATGGTAATATAATATATTCAGACTCAGACTATAATAATATCATTTAATTTTTAAGTAATATTTAAATAATTCATTAAATTATTAATCATTAAAAAAATCTAATGTGGTTTGGTGTGTGAGGAAAAAAATAAAAAATGAAGGGTTGTGTTTTTAATTTTATATTTATGTAATAAGTTGAAAGATAAATGTGAAGTAATGATAGAAAGAGTTTTGTAAACCTTGTGTAAGGATTTTGATACCCCTAATATATACTTCCGTTTTGCTGATTAATAATTAATATTCTTGCATGATATTTTCGAATGTGGAAAATCAATTTTTTTTCTTATTTTTTTAATTTATAGAGTTTTACTATAAAAATTATCATTTAATAATTTATTGAAAATATATTATAATAAGTTTTGAGCACGATAATTAGAGATGATTATCAAATTTTGGGATTAATCACTCTCATCTTAAGGTTTATGAAAAAAAAATTAAATTAACGAATACAAATTTGAATTTGAATTTTTCTCATTTAAAAAAAATTAAAATTAGGGAGAAACAGGAAATATAATTTATAAATTATGATATCTATCTTAACTTTTGAAAATTGACTTATGAAGATTATTTACACATTCACCCTTTTTGTTAAAGGAGGATTTTTTTATGTTATTATGCTAGAGTTAACTTTATCATCAAAATTGTAAAATACTTAACTCAAATTTATAAAATGAAAATGATACTTATTGATTTTATATTTAAATATAAACTCTAAAATATTATAATTTTTTTTTCAAAATATACAAATTTCTTTTTTATTTTATACTCTTTATTTTTCTTTCATTTACTTTTCTTTTTCTTTTTTCAATCTCTTCATCTGTTTCAACACACTTTTTATATATTTGATATCTTCAACTATCTGGGTGAAAATAAATTAATTTTTATTTATTTAATTCTACATATTATGTATCATTCCGTGTAATATCTAGTATTTTTTTAATTTTTTTTATTAAATTTTATTATGTTTTGATCAATAATTTTTGAGACACTAAATAAGATATTATTAATAAATAAAAAAAATATAAAAAGAACAAAATTTTTTAATTATATTTTAATTTATAAATTTTATTATTCTTATTAGATAATTTATAAATTATATCTTAATTATTCTTATTATTTTTATTAATTAAATATTTATTATTTAAAAGATTTATAATAGTTAATTTATACATTTTTCTATAATATATAACAATAATAATATAAATATAAATATTTTTTATTAAAAAATATTATATATATATATATATATTAATATAATATATATTCAATTAATAATTATAATTTAAAAATTAAAAATATTTATTTATGTATAAAAATAATTTATAAAAAATTTAATATTAAAAAAATTTATTATAATTTATATATAAATTTTTTAAAATAACATAGAATGAAAACAGATTGAGAATGAGAAAATCTAAAATCTAAGGAAAGCCAAGATAGAATCCGGATGTTAAAGAGGGTGGCTTTACATGGTTAATCTATTCTCATATGGGAGAAATATATTTTACAAGTTATAGTGAGTATTATACAGAAATTATTATTGTTTAACTAAAAAGAAGGTGATATATTTTTTATTGTATTTATATTTAGTGAGTAGTTACTTATTTCATTTAAAAAAATTTATTATAATTATTTATTTCATATCTATTAGAAATTCAAGATTTTATTTTCATCAAAACTTGTGGATTACGTTAACATTGTTCATAAGAAAATTCTATTAATTTTACTATTCTAATAAAATCAATAGTTATTTTTATTTCAAATATCATATTTAATCGACGTAATATAATAATTAATCAACATAATATAGAATTAGAATAAGTATTATTTTATTATTACAAGTATATCACTTGAGTTGGGTCAAGATTTCAACTTACAACATGTATAATTTTGTTTTCAATTTAATTATGACATTATCAACTTAAATAAATATAATTTAAGAGTATATTTCTTGTGAAATTTTACATTATTTTTTAATAAATTTCTCAAAATAACGTAAAATAAAAAATAAATATTTATTTTATACCTATAAAATAAATATATAAAAGTCGTACCAGATGATTTCACTAAAATAAATAAATATATATATATATATATATATATATATATATATATATCAAAATTAATTCATCAAGTACGATTTTTACGTGTTATCAAATTCGACTTATTTAATTTCGTAACTTTTTAAAAAGTTGTCTTTTTTAGTAAATTAAAAAAAAAAAAACATTTTGAAAAAGAATCTATACTTTCTCTATATTTGTGGTGTGGATACTACACGCGTATGAAAACTAGTAGAAAGAAAATAAAAACATAAATTGTGTTAATTGGGTCTTTCCTTCATGGTTAACCATATCTTTTGTGTAAACGAGTGTAGAAAATATTTTACTCAAATATTTTACTCCCCAAAACAATGTTAATATTATTAAGCATATTATTCATTAATAATTAGGTATTAATTTCTTTTAAGTTATAAAAACTATTTAAAAAATCGCTTTAAGTACACAACTAAGAGAAAAAAAAACTTTATTATCGACTACAACTAAAATGCTATTTGAGTTTTAGTAAGCATACACCAATAAATAATGAAAAGACAGATTTCCTTTCGAGGAATGGAAATTAAAATAAATTTATTATTTAATTATTTTTATATGCACAGTGTAAAAATACTTTATTATTGACCATAACTATAATAGACATAATAGAATATATTAGTAGTGTATAAAAGTTTATATTATCAATTAATGGAAAACATTACCTTAAACTAGAAATGACTTACAAATTAAGTCGGACGATTTATTAATTAACTGATTATAATTTTTTATTAGATGATACTGAAAATAATAACCATCTTAATCTGTTACACAAGAATCAGCTAGAGAAAAATCTAAGTCAAGCTAAATAATTGGCATAGAGTGTGAGAAACTCAATATATGAAATGAAGCAAGCAGAAGCTTGAAGCAAGTTTCTGAGTTTCACTAACCTTTTCAAAGCAAACAATCCCAAATTTGACTCGAACCAACCCAACCACCGCACCGGCCCCACCCAACTTCCGTCGTGTGATGGAGGAGGAGCCTCCGATCTACCGTCTCCCCCACGACACGCTCCACCAGATCTTCTCCTCCCTCCCCCTCCGCCAAATCATCCTCTGCCGCTCCCTCTCCAAGTTCTTCCTCCATCTCCTCTCCACCCCCTCCTTCCTCCACCTCCTCTCCACATCCCACCTTCCGCTCCACCTCCTCGCCCTCCGCCACCGCCACACCCCTCACACCTCTCACACTTCTCACACCTCTCTTTCCCTATTTGATCCCGACCATAAAACGTGGCTCCATTTCCCCCTTGATTTTCTCCCCTTCCATTCACCTCTTCCCGTTGCCTCCTCCCACGGACTCCTCTACCTCTGGGCCCAGCCCAAGCCCAAGCCCAACACCAACACTTCCCAGCCCGACACCACCGCAACCAAATCCCTCATCGCATGTAACCCTCTCATGAGAACCTTCCGCGTGCTCCCCCACCTTGGCTCCGCCTGGTCCCGCCATGGTGCCGTCCTCGTCGACGCCGATCACCGCGTCATGGTCCTAACTGAACTCGCCGCCCTCTACTGCCACCGCACCCCGAAGTGGCTCAAATTCTCCTCCAACCTCCCTTCCAAACCCCGCTCCCCTCTTCTCATCAACCACTCCGCTTTCGCCCTCTGCGACGTCGGCTCCCCCTGGCGTAGCCAGTGGAAACTCTTCTCCTGCAACATCGCCGCATCTCCTTCGCCTACGTGGTCGCGCCTCGACCGTCACGAGTGGGGGGACATCTTCGACGTCCTGAAGCGCCCCCGCCTTGTCCGCGGCCACGGCAACCGGATCCTCATGGTTGGCGGCCTCAAGTCGTCGTTCGCCCTCAACGCGCCCTGCTCCACTATTCTCGTCCTGCGTCTCGACCTGGACAAGCTCGAGTGGGATGAGGCTTCGCGCATGCCGCCGGAGATGTTCCGCGCGTTCCGCGAATCAACGAAGTACAAAGTCTTCGGCAGCGGCGACAGGGTTTGCATCTCCGCCAAGAGAATCGGGAAGCTGGCGCTCTGGGACCGCCGTGCCGCCGAAGGGGACGAGTGGCGGTGGATCGATAACCTTCCCGGGAATGGCGATGGACTTTACCGCGGGTTTGTATTTGAAGGGAGGCTCAATGCTGTGCCCTGAGGATTTAGGGTTTATGGTTGGGAACTGGTACTTAATCGGTAATGCTCTGTTTAATTTATATTATTTGTGGTTTTTTTCTCATCAGTGAGTAGCACGATTATGAAATGTGTTGTTGTAATTGTATTGTACCATTAGTTTCTCAATGCAAATTTTAACTTATTTGTGGAATCTTGTGTTTCTGGAGTATTGCTATGTATAAATGCTCCGTTTTGTATTTGTACCCTTGTGTTTTGTTGTATCGGTCGTAGATGTGTAATGCTAGGTAATGATCTTGTGATGAGTTGAAAGTTGAAACACAGAATGATCCCTACTCAATCTAGTGAACTACCTGTGAACACAACTGTAAAATAAATGCATGCTTCAATTGCTGAAGACTTGTAGACTAACAAATACTTTTGGCCATGTGTAGATATACTTTTCTCAGTAAACAATTTGTAAGAAGAAAAAAAAAGTGAAATAAGCTTCTTTAGGGAAGGTAAAATCACTTAGGTTTTCATAGAAGCTATTTTTAATTTGTGGGAGAATTTTATTTCACTTTTCCTTTTTTTTCTTTAAATATATATGGAGAAACTTATCCATTCAAGACTTCAATTGAGAGAAGACGGGTGAACAGACTTATTGGCTCTTTGTAGTTCTTATGATTTTTTATGGCCATTGCATTTTCCTCTGGGTTTCAGCTGGAAAGTGTTGATGGAATGGGCTCAGGTACTGATGAAGAGGTGTATGTCGAAAAGAAAAAGTTAGTTTTTATGAGATGAAGGGTTTGTATAGCTAACTAGAGCTTATAAGCATAATTTCATGTAGATTTTAGGAAGTTGGCAACTTTTGGTAATCGAATGAATTTAGCCTGATATGACTGAGTAGTTTGGGCACATTTTCGTCAAGTTAATACAGATTTTATTTGTTTGTCATATTGTATTGTATTCAGAATAGCATAACCTTTTGTGAGTCTTCTATTGGTTGATTCTTGGTTAGAATACCAAATCATCAAATTAGAAGATCGGGCCTCCTGTAAACCTTCCAATCCCATCATGATTTGCACTTCCCAGTCTAAAGTTATTTGCTATCTCTACAATGGAACTAGTTTAGATTTCTTCTTCCTAGTTGAGAGCATGATTCTCCTTAGTCAAATTATTGCTCACTTTTATTTTCAACATTTACAAATACAATTACCAAAGGAAAATGATTGCCCGCGGCTCTACTATAGGACTAGATACGTGCCATGAAATTTTTTTCTTTCTAGCATTGGACACCCACGAGTTTTCAGCTCCCATACACTAGAGGTTTCACATTTAAGTTACTGAGCCTATTCCTCCACGTCTTTTGAATTCCAGCTCGTGAGATTTTCAGTTGTATCATAAGATATTAAAGAATCTATGGAAGTTTGGTTTGGATTTTAAGAAAAATGATGTAGGAACCAATTTGGTCTTGTGATTACATGTTTCCCTATGTGTACTGTATATGAAATTATTAATATGACAGATTAGCTATTGTATTCTTGTATGGAAGAAAAGAGGAGAGAAGCTTATAATTTTTCTTAATTTTCTTAAACTTGGTGTGTTTCCCTTCAAGTTTACTTGTCAAACTTCAAAGCTGAAGTTGAATACAAAGACTAAACAATATTTCTAGCAGTAGAAGTGTGGATTTTGCGTCTTTGAGAATCTGGATATAAGCTGCTATAATATGTGGAGAAATTTCAACTTTAGTTAGTCTGTCACACGTGGTCATAAGATGCTATTCTATGAATTGTATGTTGAACTTTTCTTTGAACTGATTCTGTTAGGCAAGGAATTTTTTCTTCATTGTACGGACCATCTTCAAGTCTGCTTCCATATGATGACATTACACTTTGTGACGCAAAACCCTCTGCATCAGCATCACTTTCTGATAAGTCATATGAATAAATAAAAAGTGTTAAATTTTATCTTCACCAAAGCAATTGACCTCAAATTTTTATCTTAATAAATTTTTAAATATGAACACGTAACACTCTTATGTTTGTTCTCTGGGCCTTTGACTGCAGTAATATCTGGAAAATATGTAGTTACCAGTTACTATATCATTATTGACCTAAAAGCCAAAATACTATAAAATGTGGACTATCATTTATAACTATACTCCTAATAGGATCTAGGAGGCCATTGGGAGCATCTCCTTCTCTCCCCTCATCATCTCCCCTCATCACCTCCCAGGCCTCTTACCCAAAAGAGTGAAGTGAAGTCATCATTGTCTTTGTTGTATTTTGTGCGTATGTGTTTTCCCTCCGTTGCACTATTTGTGCGTATTTAGTATTTAACTGTTTGATATGATTTTTGGTTTTACTCCACTATTGTCGTTTTGGAATCACCAAGAAATATATCTGAGCAAACAGAAAAAACATCTCTTCGTTTCTACATGTTAAATAGCATTTGCATTCCGCTCTTTTTTTTATTCTGTTTTGCTTTTAAATCCATGGAAATTAGTGTGAATTCCAGTCTATGAAAACATAATCTGTACTTCTCCGCTTACAATCCTGAAGGATGTATAATTCCATAATATGGAATAGAGGGTGATTATGTAGTATATTATTTGATGGTTGCCAAATTAAGTTGGGTCCTTCATTAATTTTGAGAAGTTCTGCCTTGGTCCCTACCCAAGCTTGTTGTTGGGTACTTTAACTTGATTCAGTGTACGGCAAACTAGTTTCGCAGTTAGCCCATAAACTAGTTCAGCTAAGGGTCCCAGTATAATGGTATTAGGAACATAAGCTTTTTGGAAGGTTACTACTTATTAGTAGAGCTACTCATAACCCTCGGGAGCACCTCCCTGACAAATCCAGAAAGGCTGGATGCTACTTACTATTTATTTCACATCTATGATGCAGATTACTTACCTTTCATCTTTCCAACATAAGGGTCTATTTTGTAAGCTGAGTATATCCAACCAATGATTTAAACACTTAAAAGTATGTATCTTTCTTCGCATACACAAATATTAATTATATGATCTGTTATAGACATGTTAAATAGTGAAAATAAACAGAACATATCATCAAAGATTTTATGAAGAAAAATTAGGTATTTCATTATTTATAACCTTATATTTTTTTAAAATAGGACTTAGTATGTTTTCTTCTGATGAAACTAAAGTCATTTGGAGATCTGTATTTACTGTACTTCGTAATCATAATGGATTTCTATCAATGGAAAAGGAAGAGAATTCATGATGCTTCCCGTATGACTGACTGATAGAAGTATAGAACCCTATATAAGGGCACCTTTCAAAAAACTATATGGGGAAGGAAACTGGTGTTTGTAGAGTTTAAGCTGTTGGGATAAAAGTAGGATCGAATTGTTATGTAGTAGATTAACTAGAATATAACATAAGACTGAAAAAAATCCCTAGGAATTTTATTGTATAATTTTAATGAACCACCGATTACAGACCATTAGAAATGCTCCTAGGCATCTTTTCACTCAATCTCCCAAGCACCTTTTTGAAATTATATTCTGTATCCATATCTTGAGAAGGAGCATTGCTACACAATGATAAATTTTTTGTTTTGTAACCTCGAGGTAGGTTTGAATCCTATAAACAGTTTAATTGCCTCTGTAGACAAAATTGCATACATATATCCTTCATACTTTTAGGGCAAGTATTAGACTATATTTGGATGTCTTTTTTCCTGAAGACTTTTAAGAGAAAAAATGAAATTGATTTTTTTATAAATTAAAATTAATTGTATAAACAAATTTATAAAGGATCTCATAAGTTTTTCGTTTTTTTTTATAAATTTATACATAAAGCTAGTTTTAGTTTATGCAAAAGTATGTTTTTTTTTCATCATAATTTTCTTTCTTAGAAGTCTTTATGGAGAAGTTTATCCAATCATTATTATATTTATTTTCCCTTAACTTCAACAAGTGAGAAAGCCTCCTCATGTAGTACCTTTTTATTTCGCCTATTTCCATATTTAACAATAATAGTGTTCAATATTGAGAATTTGACCCTAGTCTACATTCTCCTGTCTTTGGTTATCGCAATAAAAATAATTTCTGATGATAAGCTTTGGGCCAAAAGTATTTTCGAATCACGTTTATCTGAAATTGGCTACAACAGTCTGTATCTGGTTGGCAATTGGTTGGTGGAAACGGGAACGTTAGCATGTACAATTGGCATTTTAGAAACAGAATCTTTGGTGACAAAAAAGAAAGAAGGAAAGAAACAGCATCTTTGAACAATGATGTTACTTATCTTCTCTTTTCTTTTTTTCTTATCATGATTCCTGTGAGCATCTGGAATATGTGCTAGGCTTCAACGGAATATTTTGGATTGTTTAGGTTTACTCTGTATAGGAATAGGATATAATTTCCCTGTTGCACGCCTCTTTCACATGTGGATTTGCCGAGGTTTGAGAAAATATCACTCGTTTTCTTGCTATTATTACATAACATGTGTTAGATAAGTTTCACGTCTGAAGGAAACTTCTTAAGAAACCTTATGTCTGTATAAATCATGGAGCGTTATAGTGTATATCTTGTAATATTTATGGTTTGAAGAAAGTATAAACACCTCTCGAGTCTCAACTACGTGGGAAATGCTAGTTTCACATCATTTGTGGCTTCAGTTAATCTCATAAGGGGTGATTTTTTTATTTTAATGAATGAAAAGTGAGGGAAATAATCGGATGAATAATTTTTGCATATACAAAATGTAAGACTAAATCACCTTGTGTTTACATTTTGATCATGTTATTTTATTTTATGAGTTAAAAATTTAATATTCATATTAATTTTAGTTTTCTATTATTTATAGACATGCATTGGTGAATGATTTGTTCGTGGGTAACAACTGAAATGAATGAATAAGTATATGTGTACAGTAGAGTAGTTTGCTTGTGGTTAGAAGTTGAAATATTGATAAAAGTTTAAGACAGTTTATAAGTTATGGACAATTAGCAAATATAATTTAATTTAAGACAGTGGAGTTTTCATATAAGAAACGGGAAACAATTATATCTTAAAGGTAATTTTGAAATACGCTATATAGAGTAATTGCCTTTATTAATTGTGTAATACAGAATTATATATAATTATTATATTATATTAAAAAATTATTATTTTTTATTTTAATTATTGGATGGAGAATAATTTGGTAAATTATAATTATTTTCAGATATATCTCAATCAAAATATATTTAAAAAATTTATATTTTTAAGATTGTTGTGTTAATTTACTTCTTCTATAAAACAATATGTATAAGGGTCACTTGTAATATGCATAAGATTGAGAGAAAATGAAAAATAAGATTAAATGACATTGATATAATTTGCAATAATTATATTATACTATTTAATAAATTATAATTGAAAAATTTATCCTTAAAATTCATTAGATTAAAATATAATTTTACACGAGTTCAATGATTTTAATGAGTAATTTAACTTTAATTATTATATTAAAAGTAAAAATGGAAATTAAGAATGAATTTTTTAAAGTGACTCTTGGAAAAGCTTAATCACCCTTCTTTATAGGAGAATTTTTAAATGAACCATTGAAACGCTATTATAATGTATTAAAAAAAATCAAGCCGAGGGGTTGGTCCACTCAATCAGGCTGACGTAGCAATCTTATTTTCCTTAAATTGGGCCTTTGGCCCATGAACCTTTGATCTGTGGATCAGTTGCCAAAACACTAGGATAAACCTTTGATATGTGATTTAGGTTTAAAAATTTAGTAGAAAACGGATTTAATGAAATAATTTTTTTAATATAATAAATTTATTAGTAATAATATTTTTTATTAAAATAATAATAATAAAAATTATTGGTATATTTATTATAAATTATAAATATTAAAAATAGTAAGATAAATAATTATTAAAATAAGATTAAAGTATAATAAATTAATTATTATTTAAAATAAATATAATTAATAAGAGATTACAAAAATTAAAATATATTATATTTTTATAAAAAATTATATTTTAAAAATTTTGATTCTAATTTTTTTTTAAATTAATTTGAGAAAAATTTAACAAATTTTTTATTTTGTCTCAATTTAATTAAAATTCAATTATTTTAAAGTAATAGATTGATTTCTAATCCGTTAAGTCATCCAATTAGATCCCAATTCCAAAGTAGTGAAAAATATTATGAAGTAAAATTTTAATTATTTAATTAAATTTGACTTGAACTTTACTAAGAATCTGTATATATTATTTTTTAAAGAAATTGTATAAATAAATGTAATGATATATGTCCGTATAAGCTGAATCATCCAAACTAATTAAAAGTACATCTTATTGGATATCTTTTCAGAATTGCATCAATATAAATTGAATCAAAATTCATTTGTTTATATCTTTATATTAAAAAATGAAATACCAATTCTGAAATCTGTAGAGTAGGGCTCAAAAAGGGTCAATGATTTGGGCAAATTTGGCCTAACACCAACTGCTTGTTGACTATTCCGTTACTATAAACTATGAAGAGAGAAAAATAGATAATAAGTTTATTCCATTCCTAAAGCAATTTTCTTGATCGAACTATCATAAATAAATAAAAAAACTGTTTTTGAATATTTAAAACAATTATTACATATCAAGATTAAAACTTTAGACTATGATTTTAGTTTCAAAAACTTTATTTTAAAATAGGAAATGAAGTTGAAAGAAAAAGACAACAATTTTAAATAAAAATCTAAAGCTTTTGTCAGCGTGTATAGAACTTGGATTCTAAACCTAGAAAGACACAGAGAACAATACAACATTAGAATAAAATAGTAAATATGTTGTTATACCTCGTGCTTTTGGATCTTGAAATTGTAGTACCAAGTGATATCCGTCTCTTTAATTTAATTATATTTTTAGACTTCTTTATTCTCTATTCAATATTCAGATAATTAAAATATGAAATAAAAGAAACAAATGTTTATATATTTATCCAAACTTCACAAGACAAAAATGGAGTTTAGAAAAAATAAAAAAGACTTTTTTTATTATTTTATTTTCTATTTTTTATTTTAATTTTCTTTTTTACAGTCAAAACTAAATTCGGGCTCTTGTAATTCTCATAAATAAAGATATAATAATTATATTGTGGGGTATAGTTTCGTGCTAAAAGTGTAATTTTTCAAGAATCCTAAAAAGTTAAGAGACTCCCCATTTAGTTAATATTTTGATAAAAAAAATTACATTGTTTCCATTTCAGCCATAATTATTAAAATTAACATTTATCTTTTCTCTAAAAAATATTAATTTATCAATAATATTTTACTTCCAATTTAATGTTTTATTTTATTTAAATTGATATTTTAAATTGCAAGATGCATAGATAAAATAAAAAGATAAGAATAAATATCTTAATATAATATATAAAAATAAATTTTTAATTTTATTATTATATTTCATTTATTTTATATTATAAATATTTGAACTAAATTTGTATAGACTAATTAAAAATAGATGAGTTTAAATTTAATCTCTCTTTAAATAATATTTATTAAAGTTCAATCTTTATTTATATCGTCATTGAATATTTATAAATAAATATTTTTTAAAATTTAAAAATAAATAAAAAATATAAATATAAATTAATAAATAAAAACATATATGTAATTAAATATACATATAAAATAAAATTAATGAATAATTAAAAATAAATAAAATAAGATAAATAAATAATTAAAAATAAATAAAATAAGATTAATATAAATTAAAAATAAATAAATATAAAATAAGATCAATATAAAAATTAAGATAAACAAATTAAAAAATAAAATTAGTATAATTAAAGTTAAATAAATATAAAATAAGATAATTACAAAATTAAAATATATAAGATAGGATTTATACATAAATAAAAATAAAATAAATATAAATAATAAATAAAATAAAATTAGCAACACCTTACTTAACCATCATAATTAAAAATAAAATAATAAATATATAATATCTTTATCTTAACTTAAATATCTCCTTTCTTTCTCTCTCTTTCTTTCACTATTTCCTCCTTCTCTTTTTTCTATCTCCTTTCCTTCTCTTCTCTCATCTCATTTTCCTTCTCACTCTCTCCATCTTTCTTCTTTATAATAAAATTTTATTTACATTTTATTATTATAATTATTATTTTTCATTAAATACATACTTGTGTCTTAAGATAAACCTTTTTTAATTAGTTAATTCAATTTAGTATTATCATTATTTATTTATTTTTATAATAATTTAATAATATATATATATATATATATATATTGTGATAAATAGATATTTTATTATAAAGTATTTAAATAATTAAAAAATATTATAATTTAATATATTATATTTAAAAAAAATTACAGGGTTACGATATCAATTACAGTGTAAGAATGGAACGAGATCTAGTTATAATTAGTTTCATTTTTTTTTCCATCAAACCTCTTAATCATTTAAAATTAAATACTATTAATTATAAATTATAATAGGATATAAAATTTGATTATAGAACCAATTGAGAATTAAATCCGATAATATGGACTATCCTTTATCTCTTTTCTCTATTAAAATAAATAAGATTAAGAAAATTCTTATATTATATTATATTATAATTTAGATAAAAGATATTCTTTGTAAATTTATATTTTTGGATATCAGTCCTTTGAAAAGGTTTTCACAGTAAGTTGAGAATGTTTGATGACAATTTCAATTACTTAGCTTTTTAAGTAGATATAGTTCGTTACAAAATCATTATGGAACTATAAAAGTGATCTTCCATGGTAGAATAATCCAATGAATAAATAATGAAACTGATGAATAAGCACTTTGCAATTTGGTTCAGTTCCATTAACATTTTCTCTTTGCTGCTTTATTTTACAGATTAATTTCAACTGTTATATATAAAATTAATATTAATTTATTGTAATTACAACATGGATATTAATAGTTAAACTTTTGACGCCAATAAACATTCAATGAATTTGCTTCCACTTGAAATCTAAATGAGTGATTTGTTTGTTGTACTCTTTTCTTCCATGAAAGTGTTGTTTCATAACACGAATTATGCATACACAACTTGTGGGAAACTGCCTAACCCCTAATCACTTATTTTCTCTCATTCTTTTCTTTATGGGTTACAACATAAGGATGAATTCAATCCTATTTTATGTCATTTCTATTCAAATTAATTAAGATGAAATATACTTAAAAGTAAGTATATAACTAAGAAAAAAAATATATAATTTTTAATATAAAGGGAAAAAAATATAAAATTAAATTAAGTTACATGCATAAATTAATATAAATAAGTAAGTTAATTTTTTTAGATGGGATGAATTTTCCTAAATCTAATAAAAGTTAACGAAGATGAATTTTAAAATATAAACTTAATTTTTAAAATTAACTTTTATAATAAAAATAATTATGTCCTAATTTCACCTATTTGTCAAAGATACCTTATGCATGGATGTTATGTGCTTTTAGAAATAATTTACATTTTTAATAGTTATTAAATTAGTTTATTTATTTAATTTAATAAAATATACCATTTTAATAAAACTATGTATTTATATTTTAAAGTATTTAAATATAAGAGAATCCTTATTTACTATTCTGCTTTGAATCATAAAATCTCAGGAGCAGAAATGAGCTACTTATGAGATGCACTACTCCATTGATTTATTTCATTCTCCTTTAACAATTTGGAAGGAAAAAAACCACATTTTCTTGTTCATCATGAATAAAACTGCAACAAAAGATCCAATCAAACCTAAAACCTATTTTGAGACCCACATTTTATAAACAACTCACTAAGCAACTTATTTAATATTATAATAATAATTTTAAATTATTTTTATTTTTATTAAATTCTTTTACTGATGTAATATTAATAAAAATGGGTTGTAGGAAGAACTGTTTGTATTGGAGAATGTCAATATATCACCAATCTATGATTAATTCATTGAAATGGAAAGTCTCAAAACTAGGAATTATTGTTTTGGGAAATTACCTACTTCCATTTAAAGTCATTAACAAGATTGGTCTAAATTTCGCCTTCAGCCTACCAAAAGCAACACCAATCGACTATAACCTAAAAGGAGGATATTCATCTTCATTCACTTTCTAAACGACTGTTTATAATATTCCATAATTCTAAATCTTTTGTAAACATTAAATTTTACTTATTTATAAAAAAAAACTTATAATTTGATTATTTTAAAATAATAGCAATTAAAATAGATCTTAAACTTTACATTTTCATTGTATTAGTCTTTTAATTTATTTATTTTTTAAATTTAACTTGCCATCAACTTAGTCTTGAAAATTTTAAAATATCCCATATATATTACAACTTAAACTCAATTTTATTTTTTCCTCATGTTGGTGTTTTAGGTTCAACTCATTCTCTATATATGTAAAGGTTTTTTTACTTTTATAGGGAGGAACTTTTGCTCTAAGGAATTGTAAGACGCATTACGGTGCGTTTGGAAAGTAAAGAATAATTTAATTGAAAATGAGTAGATGAAAGTCAAGTATTTTTTTATGAGTAGCTGAAGTTGAATATAACTAGTTGAAAGTAGATATATAAATTAGTTATTTGAATTTAAAATATTTGGTAAAATCTAATTGAACTACATGATAAGTATTAAATAAAAATGAAAAAAAATTATTACTTGAAATATATATATATATATATATATATATATATATTGAATAATCATTAGTTTTTGTATTTTAATGTGTCTCAAATAATGCACCATGTTAAAAATTAGTGGAATTTAAAGTTTTACTTAATTTTATTTTCAAACTCTCAAACCTCTAAATGCATTCGTTGTGTCCGAGGTTCTCCAGCAAGGATTTAAATTGTAGTTCATTTGTGAGAATAAATTCAAGTTGATGATTTTCATGTATTATATGTTTTCTTTACATATTTTTTTGAACTTGTGAATAGTGTGTAATTAAGCAGAGAATAAAGATATATAATACATTTTTAGGTACATAGTTTTTCTTCCACTTTTGCGGTTCTTGCACATCAAACTCTATAAATCCATTGTACATCATTTTGACGAAATATATTTGGTATCCATTAGCATTTCTGATATATAGAAAATTTAAATGGGAAGTTCAAAGTGATAAATTAGGATATTTATTTATCATATAATATAAGTTGCCATAATAAAAGACACTGCATAGCCAGCAGTTAGAAAACTGCAAAGCATGCAGGAGATACACATTGACCTGATTTTAACAGTCCCTTAAAACTTTAAACATATAAAGAAAGTGAAACCAAATTAATATTAGTTTCACAAAACACGTTCCAATCTTCACTTGCATATATTGTAGATGGTGCTTCTTCAAGTCCTTCCATCTCCTTTATTTGCACACGTTCTTCATGTCCTGAAAAACACACGTGTGCATGCAATTATATTATTAGTTTGTCATGACATATAATTAACAGAGCGAGAAAGTTTTCACATTTCATATATGAATGCTTCTTAAAATGATAAAGATTAGTTTTATAGGAATCCTACCAAATAACAAGCTAGCGATCATGATAAGGGGAAGATGGAGGTGGTGACTTATATCGTGGTGATGGAGGTGGAGGTGGTGACTTATAATATGGTGATGGAGGTGGAGGAGTTAATTCCTTCTGTGGTGGAGGTGGTGATTTGTAACGTGGTGATGGAGGTGGAGGTGGAGATGGAGACTTAAAATATGGTGATGGAGGTGGAGGAGTTAGTTCCTTCTGGGGTGGAGGTGGCGACTTGTAATGCGGTGATGGAGGTGGAGGAGTAAATTCCTTCGGGGGTGGAGGTGGCGACTTGTACCGTGGTGATGGAGGTGGAGGTGGTGACTTATAATACGGTGATGGAGGTGGAGGAGTAAGTTCCTTCGGGGGTGGAGGTGGCGACTTATACTGTGGTGATGGAGGTGGAGGAGTAAGTTCCTTCGGGGGTGGAGGTGGCGACTTATACCGTGGTGATGGAGGTGGAGGTGGTGACTTGTAATACGGTGATGGAGGTGGAGGAGTAAGTTCCTTCGGGGGTGGAGGTGGCGACTTATACTGTGGCGATGGAGGTGGAGGAGTAAGTTCCTTCGGGGGTGGAGGTGGCGACTTATACCGTGGTGATGGAGGTGGAGGTGGTGACTTATACTGTGGTGATGGAGGTGGTGGAGTAAGTTCCTTCGGGGGTGGAGGTGGCGACTTATACCGTGGTGATGGAGGTGGAGGTGGCGACTTATACTGTGGTGATGGAGGTGGTGGAGTAAGTTCCTTCGGGGGTGGAGGTGGCGACTTATACCGTGGTGGTGGAGGTGGAGGAGTAAGTTCCTTCGGGGGTGGAGGTGGCGACTTGTAACGCGGTGATGGAGGTGGAGGTGGAGACTTATAATATGGTGATGGAGGTGGAGGTGGAGACTTAAAATATGGTGATGGAGGTGGAGGAGTTAGTTCCTTCTGGGGTGGAGGTGGCGACTTGTAATGCGGTGATGGAGGTGGAGGAGTAAATTCCTTCGGGGGTGGAGGTGGCGACTTATACCGTGGTGATGGGGGTGGAGGTGGTGACTTATAATACGGTGATGGAGGTGGAGGAGTAAGTTCCTTCTGAGGTGGAGGTGGTGACTTATATCGTGGTGATGGAGGTGGAGGAGATAAGTTCTTATAAGGTGGGGGTGTTAGCTCCTTTTGGGGTGGAGGTGGTGACTTATAATATGGTGATGGGGGTGGTGACTTATTTGACTTCTTAGGAGGTGGTGGAGGAGATGAATGCTTATATGGCGGAGGTGGTGACCTATACCCGTTGCGAACTGGTGATGGAAGAGAAGGGTGGTGACGGTGATCCTTGTCCGGTGAGGTTTCATTTGCCAAGCTTAGAGAAAGTATGGCCAATACAAGAGTGAGAGTAGCAACTAAAGACCCCATTTTTCTCCCACCTTCAAAGGGTTTTGCTGATGCTATTAGGAAAGGTTGTGTCCCTTTATATAGTTTATTTCACCGCTTCTATAGTGCCTAATCAATCATCTTTGAAATTGTATTTTGCTTTAATCTACTCCCAAAAAATTATGGTTGGATAGTCAAAAGGTACATACGGAAAGATAAGTAATAAAATTATTGATATACTCAGGAAAAGAGAAAATTATTGTGTAACGTGAAAAATAAAGAAAAAAAAATAGCATTAACAGAGTCTTTGTATTAATTAGATATTATCATAAATATAATTTCAATATGATTATTTTAATAATAAATTAGCAACTCTCCGTTAAATAAATTAGAGACTTAATTATAGATGCACGTATGATCTCAATAATTGTTTTTACATCGCACTTAACTTTGTATATGATTTTATATGGAGAGAGAAAAAGGGGGGAAATAATATTATAAATAACTTATGTGTATATTCTTACGTATGTTCACGGGATGATAATATGTTTAATATATTGTTAATATATATTATTTTGACGTAAATATATTAACATCACCTGCAACATAAGACAACATGAATGTTATAAGTAATAGTCAAACTGATACCAAACTACTTTTAACGGAAATGACTATATATATATATATATATATATATATATATATATATATATATATATATATATATATATATATATAAGTAATAGTCAAATTAATATTAAATATTTTCAGACAATTAAAACCATTTAGAAATTGTTTCTACTAAAATTATTTTTATATACAATAAAATTCCATTCAACCTAAAGCAAGTTGCATATATAAAAACTGTTGAAAGTATAAATCACATATATTTCGGCTAACTGATTAGAAAATTGATTAATTTTTTTATTGTAATATTCATAAATCTAACTTTGTTCATTCTTTTGCTTTTGAAACATATAGTATTACAGTAACTTATCGTTCTTAACTTACTTAATAAATATCATTAATGATTATATTTAATTTTTCATTAAGTCCTTTAAATTGATATGATTCATGAATTTTGTAAAAATTAAAAGACTAGTATATCCTTATATAATTGAAAAAAATTAGAATTATTAGGTTGTAAAATTGTTCTTTGATAAATTTAAATTCAGTTACTTAATTTAAATAAATATCTAGAAATTGTTTTTTTTTTTATGATGTTTATTTATTTTCTTACCTAACCGGTGGAGTTCAATAAGAGAATATAAGGTTGTAAAAAAATAAAATAAAAAATAATAAATCAGATTCTGAGTCATAAACTCAAGATTATCACAAATAGTGTCCTTTAAAAAAAAATTAGAATTTTACTCTAATAATATTAGCGTAAAAGATATTATACACTCTTGTAGAACAATATATTTTAAATTATGCAAATTAAAATAAAATTATATATACAATAACATTTTCTTATATATTAATATAGTATTGTATGTTATTTATCTACTTTTCTATACTTTTATATCATCTTTTGGAATATATATTATTAACTTGCAATTATTTTGTCTGTTAAATTTATTACATAATTATCGACTAATAAGATTTAAGTCTTTAACAATGTATTATATTAATGCAAGACTTTAAAAAAATGATTAAATGGATATTTTATAAAATTCAACTCTATAAGGTTCCAATTTTTTATTTATTTATCATTGATGTGTTTTTAATTGTTTTTAATATCATTAAATGCTAATGATATATTTGGACAATTAGGAAAAATAGAGTATTTCAATAATAAATCATATGATCAGTTGACTATAACCAAAATTATTTTTTTAATAAGTTATTAGAAAATAATTTTAAGATAATTAATTTGTTTTGACAAAAAAAAATCTCCTTTTACGTAATAAAAAAAATGTTGTATATGTAGCTTGGAAGGAAAACAACATCTCCCTCAAAATAATCACAAGCTACAAATTGTTCATATTCACGAAAATAAGTTTTTTTTTTTAGAAAACGAATATTAAATTTCAGTTAATGCTTTTTTTTTTCAAAAGAATTGAAATGGATGAAAATATATTTATTTTTTTACTAATATACTATAACATGTATTTGGACGGTTAATTATTAGGTCTATTCATTTTTATGTGTCCCAATGCAAATTACAGTTATGTTTTGTTTTCAAAATTCATTTAATGCTTCACATTATATTTTAATTTAATGTCTAACTTGTTATTTCAAAAATAAAACAAGGGATTATTATATTTTATTTTTTGTGGTTATTACTTATTAAAAATATTAGTTATAACATATTATTTAAAATAGAAAATTATATAGATATAATATTGAGAATTAGAATAAATTTAAGTCTAGTACAGAGTGAAAAATTGATCTAATTTTTTTAAGTTTTTAATTGAAAGTAGGGTGATGTTGTCTTGATTAGTTGATTAGTTTCAATTTATGAGAATCACTCCTATGTTAAAATACCCTATATATCTATCTATATATTATCTATTATTTTAAATTATGTAGAATTAAAGTAATAATATTTTATTTCTTAAGTATTAAAACAATATTGAATTATTAGGATTATTTTGGAAATCAAATTGGATCGGGTTCGACCAATCTTATCCAAAATAAATATGTTATTTTTAATAATTAAAATTTAATTAAATGGAGATAAAACTGATTAGATTTTTCAGTCAAATTATTTCAGTAAAAAAATTATTATTAATGAACTTATTAATTATATATTTATTATATTATAAAAATATTATTTTATTTAATTTGCTTAGAATTATATTAAATTTTGATTGAATATTTAAATTCTGAATTTATATTTTCGTTAATTGAGACGAAATTTTAAAATATATGTTTGTTACCCTTTTTCTTTATCATATTTTTATTTTAAATTATATATTATTAACTTTTTTTAAGTAAAGGTTAATAATATGCTTACGATCATTTTTACAAAATAAAGGCATCAATAACGTTGTTAATTACCTCCAAATTTCACCCGAACCATATACCCGTAACTAATAAAATTAGGTATGCCACTTTATATAAACCAAATTATATATTATTAACTTCAAAATAGCAAGCTTGTATAACAAACATTATTAATGAAAACCATTTTTAATTATTTATTAAATACAATTACATTCATAATCAATTTAATGAACTATTTAATTAACATGCATATATAAAATAAAGCGAGGAATGTCATAGTTAGGCAGCAATATACTCCATTTTCAAAGTTTGCTATGAATTGCAACCGAATAAAAAGGCAAAGTCCCACAAATAAAAAATACTTATTATATCAAACACTATTATTTCAGTTTGAATATTGGAGTAATAATTCATAAAGTAAAATATTAAATTAGGTTGGTGACTTTTTCTACAAAGAAAATAAGGGTAATGTCTTAACTGTTTACTTTTCTTCTGCTCTTGAATAACATTGGTCAAAACATGAAACAGGATCACAGTACCTCAGTTTTTACTCTTGATTTATTTTATTTTTTTCCAACCTACATTTTACAAGGACAAAGTTTTCCGTACTGTTTTTTCACTCAAATTTTAAATTTATATCAATCGTTCGTGATCATTTTTAATGTACGCGTTATCAAATACAAGTTCCATTTTAATTACATAACGTATTAACAAAATACATACAACACTTTATCTTTATATATATTATTAATCTACAATATTAGATCTCTTAAACGGTGTTGTCAAATTTAAGTGTCTTCAAACAAACTACATTTACTCAAGTTTTTTAAAATGAAATTTGTAAAATTCAACTCTCCATGGCTTTATAAGTTTGAGTTTTCGTCATAGTCTATTTTATGATGAATTATTAATAAAAAATTTCTTAAAAAAAATTAAAATAAAATTATTCAAATTGTTCTAATACGTTCATGAGTCTCGCATCGCTTAGGAGTCAAGACCAATGGTAATTTATATATATCCTTCTTTTTTAACATTCAAAACGTTTTTTAAAGATAAAATCGTGACGAAAGAGAATTTTAAAGTATACAATACCTCATACATGTGAATTAACCCTAATAATATTATCATAAAGCACATGAGACAAAGGGTTTATGTTCCATTACATTCATGAGTATCACATCAATACCTCAGACGTATTATGTTGTTTTGATATGCTCATGAGGTCGAAAAGCTTATGTTTTGATATGCGTATTATGTTGTAAAAGCAGACAGAGACACGAGCAAACTTTATTCCTGAGGCGTGTATAATCATTGCCCTTAAGGACTTATCCGTGATGTATTGCGCAAGTCCTCCAGGATACAACAGGAACTTATCGGAATATCCGAGGATCTCAGAAACTAGCAAGAAACTCTCAAAAGAGTAAATTAACTCAGGAACACAAAAAGAAGATCAGAGAAGACAAGATGAGAGATGTGTCTTCTGAAGAGTGTGAAGTGGTCTCTATTTATAAGAGAAAGTCTGTAACAGTTATGTAAGACTTGGTAGTGGGTTTGTAACGTTCCCTGTAACGTTCTCTATAACGTTCTCTGAAAAAGTCTTGTGCAACGTGTGTGAGAACACGTTCTCTGAAACGGTCTTCTGCAACGTTCTCTGAAAAAGTCTTCTGCAATATGTGAGAACACGTTCTCTGAAACAGTCTTTTGCAACGTGTGCTCTGAAATAGTCTTCTGCAACGTGTGAGAACACGTGCTCTGTTTTGCAATACCCCTCAATTTACAACAATCCCCCACATATTGCAAAACAAAAGGGGATAAAAGAAATAAAAGAAGAAAATCCAGGGTCTCATATAACATGTAATGCATCAGAGCTGGTATAACAAGCTATATGAACCAGTCTTAGACTAAAAAACTTAACACACAGTGTAGTTGGTGTGGCAAGCTATATGAACCAAAACACTTAATGTGTGTTAGCGGTTTTAATAATCACAATACACCCCCACACTTCTTGCTGTTATCGCTGTGTTGCGCTTACTAGGCCATGCGCGTGCCCGGTATTCATGAGTGCTCTAGAAATCATGCAAAGATCTCATACA